AAACCAGCTTAAAAAAGACTCTAAACCAAAAAGTACTTAAACTCCCACTCTTACTCTATACTACGAGCGGTATAGAAGCTACTCTAGCTTTTATTACTAGCACGAAGATAGGAACAAGAAAGTGGCACCTAGGCCAGGAGGGCTAGAAGGAACAAAAACAAGAAAGAAACAGCAAGAAAGAAAGAAAGAAGAAGAAAAGAAGAAAAAAGAAGAAAAACACGTTTGCTTTTATTAGTACTATTTCCTATCCCCTAAGAGAGCTCGCTGGAAGGCAGCTTAGCCGCCCTACATCTCTCCCTATTACCAAACTGCTCTTTAGCACCAGGCATCTAGAAAGCTAGTAATAGCTTAGCTAGATAAAGGCCGAAGCACCCTAGCTACACTTTATAGCAGAAACCTCCAAATTGTAAATAAAAACTAGATAGAACGGCCTACGGCCAAAGTCTTACATAGCCAACGGCTGATACAGGACTATAATGGAATATATATATCCACTTCCTCGGCGTCAGGCGCAACACCAATTTCGACTTCTCCCACAACAGCGACATCCGCACATCACAGTGCTAATTCACATTCTCATCAGTCAGCTCTAAATCATACCGAAATATCATGTTTGTAAGCGTGAGCCACAGCTCCAACCTAGCTAGTTTGCAAGCAGGCAAACACATGGGCAAGGTCGTCATGTCTGTGACACCAGACATGATGGTTCCGGTAAGGAATTGGATATGAATCTCTCACAACGACAATTGACGAACTGGAATTTTACAGGTCATCGCAATGCCAAAACAGCTTTCATTTCGTCCTGACTCCTCTTACATGATTATGGGTGGTCTAGGAGGAATTGGCCGTTCTCCCTGCAAAAAATTTGTCGAGCATGGTGCCAAGTCCCTTATCATCCTGTCGCGCAATGCAGGTGGCACCAAAGGAAGTCAGCAGTTCTTGAACAAATTATACAGAGCTGGTTGCGCTGCCACTGTTGTTAGCTGTGACGTCTCATACGAAAGTCAAGTCAAGGCTCTGATGAAAAGTTACAAGGCAGAGCTACCACCCATTCGTGGTGTTATATATGCTGATATGGTCCTTGAGGTACAGAATCCTTTACACAATTTTCCATAAGATCGATTTACATGAGCTAACAAAATACAGGATTTTGTATTTGAGCACATGAAGATTGAAGGTTACATAAGATGCGGCAATTCGCTCCAAGATTCAGGGCAGCTGGAGCCTTCATACATCTTGCTGACCATGATCTGGATTTCTTCATCATTCCCTCATCTTTAGTAGGTGTCTCAGGAAGCGCCAGTCAGGCCAATTACACTGCCAAAGGCACCTTCCAAGACGCTCTCGCGAAGCACAGAAGAGAGGAACACCTGACAGCAGTCTCCATCGATCTCGGCATGGCTACTTCTGTCGGTGATGTGGTACAAAACAAAGGTGTCGCAGAGAGACTCACATGATTGGGCTATAGACCCATCAGCGAGGAAGAAGTACTTGAAGATTATTAAATCCGCGATATTGGACCCGCCTAGCGATACTGCAGCTCAAATCATAACCAGAATCGAAATTGGGCACGGCCCTCATTGGGATGAGGCTTCATGGCTTCAAGATGTCTGATTCTCAACACTTCGAGAGCAGGTATCAAGCTCCGGAGGACGAGTTACCCAGCGAAATGGTCTTGTTGATGGACAGTCTAAGCCAAGTCAATTGCTTTTCAATGCTTCTTTGTTGAATGAGGCGGTGGATGTGGTTGAGAAAGCAGTTACCAAGAAAGGTGCAAACATTTTCCTGATTGCTGAGGCGAATATCGTCGCTACAAAATCGCTTGGAGAATACGGAGTTGACTCACTCCTCGCTGTTGGATTGCGAAATTGGCTAGCTGCATAGCTAAGCTCCGACGTGTCTGTATTCTATGTTATGCATATACCGTCACTCACCGCTCTTGCAACTATCGTTGTCAGGAAGAGTACCCTGGTTGAGCAAAGCTTTCTGACAGAAAAGGCGTAACAATAGTACTGACGGTTCGAGTGTTCGATGCGCTCACAATTCTCATTACCGCTTTCTCTCGTCTTGACTCTTTGTAAATCATCTTTTGTTTAGGGTTTAATATTAGACTCTATTTTCATGCTGTGTTTGTTAGTCCCGGGGATCAGAAAACTGCTGGAGAAGTATCAATTGTCGAAGGATAATATTGATGTCATCGACATCAACAAAGCATTCACTTCCTTGGTAAGACCAGATGTTCTTGCATTATTCGCAGCATCAGATCAACAGATATTCAGGTTGTATACTATCTCGAGGAGCTTGGGCTAGATAACACGAAGGCGATTCTACGCGAGGGAGCTATGTAGGTAGTTTCACAACCAACCTGCATCTTGGCCGTTGAACTAAAACAGCTTTACAGCGCCATCGGCCAGCCATTGAGTTGTACAGGTGTCCGCCAAGTTATCATAGCACTTTCGCGACTGAGAAGAACAGGTGGCAAGCTTGTGATCACATCCATTTGTATGGGAACAGTAAGCTTTCACTTCTCATACCGACCCGCGTCAGGGATATTGCTAATGTTCAAAGGGAATGGGAATGACCGATTTATCTGACAACGAAGCAGGCTGTTGCACACGGGAATAGATTCTTCAAGTGCGAAATGATGTGAACGATTTCAGGACTTGCTCTATGTAAAGACGCTCATATTTCCAGTCTTCTTAGGGTTGTGTCTACATGATCAAGGCAAAACGAAGGATTGCTAGAGAGTCTACCCTCGAAACTTGTAATACTCATTTGCCAGCCTGGGAAACAGATACTTCAAAGCATTCTCTCTCACCACATCTTTATCAAACTCCTCAGTCGTGAATACACCAAAAAGTTTTGGGGCGCTGTATCCATCTAGATGGGACTTGTTATCTAGCCGGTATGTATAACGATAGTCTGTAGTGTAGATGATATGATCCTTCGGCAGCCCTATGTCGTGCACGGGGGTATTCGGCCAAAGGCGGTGGTCACCTGCTTGCAGAGAGCAGGCAATTTGTACATGGATATGGTTGGCCATCCCAAGCATGTCCAGAAATGTCTGAATTCCGGCGCAAATCCGATCTGCGCTCAGAGCGGAGAAGAAGATGGCTCTACTGGAGACGTGCCTACGGCCACGCGACCTCCTTGCGTGTTGATCTCGGCACCTGCGTCTAACAGCATCTTGACTATCGGTTCCAGTCCTCTAGCTGAAGCAACCCGCAGTGCGTTACCGCACTCTCCGCCCTGTGCGTTAGCGTCGGCGCCTTTGTCAAGTAGCATCTTGACTACCTGCTCATGGCCCTCTTCTGATGCTGCGTACAGTGCGTTGCTATACATACCGCCTTTCGCATTCGTGTTAGCGCCTTTAAGCAGCATCTCGACTACTTGCACACGCCCTTCCGCAGAAGCTGCCTGCAGTGCGTTGCCAAAGGGACCTCCCTGCGCGTTAACGTTGGCACCTTCGTCTAACAGCATCTTAACTACCTGCTCGTCACCTTCTGAACAAGCAGCTTGCAGTGCGTTACTATAGAATCCGCCTTGCACATTAACATAAGGGCCTTTTCAAGTAGCATCTTGACTATTTGCTTATGACTCCCTACTGAAGAAGAAGCTGCCTGCAGTGCATTGCCATCGCGTCCGCCCTGCGCGTTAACGTCAGCGCCTTTATCAAGCAGCATCTTGACCACCTGCCGGTGCCCTTCTGAACAGGCGGCTTGTAGCGCGTTGGCGTATGCGCCCTTAGCCATGTAAAAGTTGACATTGGCCCCTTCATTGAAGAGATAATGTGCAATGCTTTTGTGACCTGCTTCGGCTGCTAATACAAGGGCTTCCCCCAATCGCCTTGTCGAAGAGTCAAGCCATGCTCTTTTCTCTAGCAGCTTGCACACTGTGCGTTGTTGCCCGTGCTTAGCTGCCCACAGTAGCGCAGAGTCGTTGGAGCATCGTATATTGTGGTCGTAGAGGTATGGGTTCGTAAGGTGGTAGAGGAGACGATTGGTTCGCGCAAATGCATTGAGATCGCTCTCTGCGTGCAGGTGTTCGGCTACTATAGCACAGAGAAGCTCGTGAGGTAAGTTGACCAGTGGCATGACGGAGGCTTTTCTTCGCTCCAAGACAGAGTGCGTGCATCTGGCTCAATCTAAGTAAGTAATACAGTTTGCTTAATATGATACTGTACGCAAGTACAAAGCGACTAGGATATACTTGGCTAAATAGTAACAATAGCCGATAGTATACTCAACTGACACGGCTCTAGGCAACAGCGCTAACCAATGCCCCAAGTGCTAGTTTATCGGCCCGCCCAAACCCGCTTAACCTAGGACCGCTCAGGGACATAGCGAAGTCGGAGTTCACATCTAGTTGGCAGGACGAGCAGCACTGCTTAAAGAGGCGCAGAGTATTGTTTCGCCGTAGTGTGATGACGCTAAGGTGAATGCACTCTTATTTGATTAGTAACGCGGCTGCTCCGCCGCCCAGATTGTCCTGTGCCACCCTCGTAACTTTAGACAAATCTGGTTAGAATGATAGAGAACTTCGTCGCATACTCCAGGAATGCCTTGCGCTCTAAAATGCCCGTGTCTTTCGCACTGACGTATCTCGTCTCACGATATACTTCACGCACGTATGACATTGTCAGGGACATTGATATCGCATTGTTCCCAAAGTGTTCTTGTGTATCGAAACCGTACCTATCACCAGCTTCGCATCGCGGTTTTGGCTCCTTCGCATCGATACGATGGATCTAAAACCAATGGGAAAACGACGGTCACATACCAAATCGCGTAACGGATGTATACAGTGTAAACGCAGGAGGATCAAGGTGCGTTTAGCTTGAAAATAAATTTGGAACAAGGTTGTCTGATAGATGGCACAGTGCGATGAAGAAAAGAGTGGCTGTGGTTACTGCATGCGGAGAGGTACGCGTTGCGTATTTCCACGTTTCTCGAAAATATCTGCGCCTGCTACTCTATCCCTCCCAGTTACGCCTCATGCACCGACTATTAGCGCATGTTCACCTGGGCTATCAGATTGCAGTACTTTACACACATTCGCCAAGATATCGCCCCGAAACTTCGACGATGGTGGAGAGCTGGATTCCTTCACCATGAACGATCTCATTCTACTGCATCACTGGTCTCTCGTCACCAGCCTTACAATGGTCAATACACCAGGTGTTGATCATATCTGGCAAACCGTCATGGTACAGATTGGAGCTCAACATCCATACGTCATGCATGGTATATTCAGCCTCACAGCGTTACATCTCGCCTACCTCGACTCAACGAAGAAGCATACCCTGATCGCAACAGCTGCCCAACACCACAATAGGGCCCTTCGCGACTTCCAAACCAAACTTTGCAACATTAATGAAGAAGACAGTGATGCTCTCTTTGCGAGCGCCTCCATAAATATGTTATACGTTTTCGCCACCTTCGGAAATCTGTATTATGGCGACGCAAACGAGTCCCCAGCCGATTACCGCTCGCGTATTCTTGGTGAGGATTGGATCCCATTAATACGAGGCGTAAATCGATTAATACAGCAAATTCGTGAAGTCGTTAACGTCGGTCCGCTAAGTTCGTTACTAAGGATCGGAAACTGGAATGAACTCGACCCGGATGCCGTGAGTGTCCCTTACGACGCGGAGCTGCAATCTCTCAAGTCGATATGGGCGGACAGCGCTGACGCGCTCGTGTATGACGAGTCTTTGTACCTGCTACGCAAGTGCTGGGCTTGGACTACTCTGTTTCAAAGCATTTCTAAGCACCTCTTTCCAGATGTTGCTCCACATCCTGATTGGGAATACAATCGTAGTTGGAGTGGTCCATTTATTTGGCTAAGTCTCGCGCCAGATGATTTTTTCTTGCGCTTGCAGCAGCGTCACCCAGCTGCGCTGATTTTGTTTGCTCATTTTGGCGGGCTGTCTGCGGGGCTCGAAGGATACTGGTGGATGGAGGGCTGGGGGAAAAATATCGTGGCAGCTGTAAATGATATCTTGGGGAGCTACTGGGACGCCAGGATCGAGCTGCCAAGGAGACTTGTGGCAAGAACAGGGGATGAAATCCCCGGGAAGCTCGGCTAGCCTAAAATAGCCTGATAAGCTAGAGTCGTATGCAGCCTAGCTAGCTAGCTAGCTATGGGCCCAAACATGGATCTATCACGTGAAAATCAGTCTAGAGGCGTCCACTCGTTGTGAAACAGGGGAGGTGCGTATTTGGGGTGCGTATTTGGGGTGCGTATTCGGTATGCGTATTCCGGTTGCGTATTTGGCGTATCCGCAATTGGTTCTATGCGACTTAGATCGGTCATGAAGTGATAGTCCTTCCCCCTTCTATGCGCAGATTTCTGATCAGGTTAATTCGTTGGAGGCCAGATTAAGTAACGGCCTTGAGAATCATATTACCGCCAGGAACTCATAGTAAAAGCATCAGGACCTGTCTTTCTACCCTGGAATACCATTATGCACCATTTGGACCTAACATCTAAAAAAGACGAGGAAACCGACCTCAGACTTGCAGGCACAAATCTTCGCACGTCTGCTATTACAAAGGGTACTCTCATCCTGCACCATTTCTTTAGGTGGCTCATTCTCACATCATTATAGACGACGACCGTATCGACCTCACTTTCGATGCGCAAGACGCTAGTACATTGAACAGTTTTTTGTATAAGAGGACTCAGAAGAGCAGTCCATCGTCAACACTATCACTCAACACTAATGCCAGATACTCTATTGATAATCACAAGAAGACCTCAGTTCCTCCATTCAATATTGTGATACAGATCGTTGGAAGTCGAGGTAAATTCACTGCTCTAAACTCTCTATATTATACCCAAAAGCTTATGAGTCTGTACAGGCGATATCCAGCCCTTCATAGCCTTGGGTACTGAGCTCAAGCTCTATGGTCATAGGATACGCATTGCGACGCATGATGTCTTCAAGAATTTTGTACACGAGTCAGATCTCGAGTTCTTCCCTATTGGTGCTGATCCGTCAGACCTTATGGCAGTAAGTATTGTCAGTAGAATTAATATCTCATATTCACATTGAGTAGTACATGGTGAAAAACCCTGGCATCATACCCAAGTTTTCAACGATCAAGGCCGGAGACATCGGCAAAAAACGCGCCATGATTGCTGAGATACTAGAGGGTTGTTGGAAATCATGTCTCGAACCTGATCCAGATACTGGCGTACCATTCATCGCAGAAGCCATCATCGCAAACCCGCCAAGTTTTGCACATATACATTGCGCAGAGGCACTAAGTATTCCACTACATATGATGTTCACAATGCCTTGGAGCCCAACAAAAGCCTTCCCACATCCCCTAGTGAATATTAAACGGTCGAATCTTGATCCGAGTACGGCCAACTATCTAACATATGGAATGATTGGGATGATAACTTGGCAAGGGTAATTGGATTCCTTAGCTTCTTTATGCGAGTCTTGATGGGCCTAACAAACCTTTGTACAGACTGGGAGATATCATCAACAACTGGCGAGAGAATACACTCTCACTAGAACCAATCGGCGCTATCGATGCGGCAGGTGTCATGGAATCGCTTCAAGTACCTTACACATATTGCTGGTCGCCAAGTCTCGTACCTAAACCGAATGATTGGCCATTACATATTGGTAAGTTGTGAGAATTTTACACTCTTCTATTGATGTGTATGCTAATGTAGCAGACGTTTGCGGGTTCTTTTTCCGTGAAGAGCCTCAGTATTCGCCCCCAAAGGATATAGATGAATTCCTTCGAGCTGGTCCTCCACCGCTGTACATTGGTTTTGGCAGTATCGTTATGGAAGACCCAGCTTCCGTCACAGAAATAATCTTGTCTACCCTGCGGAAGCGTGGTGTCAGAGCTATTGTTTCACGGGGATGGAGCAACCTTGGTGAGATGAGGGAGGACGAGAATGTGCTGTTCATTGGGGACTGTCCTCATGGTAATGCTAAAACCGAGTCCGAGGTCCATATGAACTAACAATGCGTCTAGAATGGTTGTTTAAGCGCGTCTCTGGAGTTGTACATCACGGCGGTGCAGGAACAACAGCCTGCGGTCTTCTGAACGCGTGTCCAACTTCTATTATCCCATTTTTCGGAGAGTGAGTCAATTTCATTAAATATGCAGCTAGCCTCTGCTGACACTCGTTTCCAGTCAGCCATTTTGGGGTGACATGGTAGCCGCTGCAGGCGCTGGGCCTCGCCCAGTTCACCACACATCTCTCACCGAGGAAAACTTCACAGTTATTATTGAAACTTTGCTCGATCCGAATACAAAGCGCTCGGCCGAGGCTATCGCAGCAAAGATGCGATGCGAGCAGGGTGTGAAGCGTGCCGTAGAATCATTTCACAGCAATCTTCCCCAGAAAAATCTTGCATGCAGCCTGTTGCCGACAGAAAGCGGGGTATGGATGTACGATGCAAAGGCACTCAAGAAACAAGGGAAGAGGGCTACCGAGGGCATTAGGTTATCCCCTAAAGCAATCACCGTCTTGAGCAAACACAAACTACTGGACTTGACCAAGCTCAACTTGTAAGACATCTCCCTAAGCTCCCTAATTTCTACTTCATAACATCTCGTTTAACAACAATACTCTCTCTTATTGAATCTGTCTAACAATAATTAGGCAACACTCGAACCCTTTCTGTCTTGGAACGGAACGTTGGGATCCCCTGACAGCAACCTCTTCCTCCATCCTTGCTAGCGTCGTCGACTTCAGCCACGGCTTCGGCACCCTCGTCTCGGCTCCTGTCAAAGCTTACAAACACTACCATCCTGCCAAGGCCTCTTCTTCTTCTTCTTCTGATGTATCTCCCACCGCCAAAACCACCACTGCCGAAACCCCTATTGTTAGTTCTGGCGCCAGCGCCGCTTCTAAGGCTGGCGTTAATAAAATGATGACCAGTCTAATCAAAGGTTCATTAGTCGACTTTCCCGTCGCTCTAACGGAGGGACTGAATAATGTGCCTTTACTGTATGGCGAAAAAGTCCGGAAGAGGAGACCGATCACAGACTGGAAGAGTGGGAGCAAAGAAGCTGGTAAGAATTTTGTGAAAGGTTTTGCGGATCCAATATGGTGTTTGTTTAAACAGCCGGCCGTGGGTTTAACAAAACATGGTGGCTTAGGGCTGGTAACTGGATTGGGAAAAGCGGGGATGGGCTTAGTAGTGAAGCCAGGGAGTGGTAAGCAGTCTTTCTTATGTGTCAGCATTATATCTACTGGGAAGTTTCTCCCCTCTTGCGCTATATTACTAATACTCAAGACTTCTAGCTATGTTTGGTCTCTTCGCCTATCCTGCCCTTGGTATCTACCAATCCATCGTTAGCGTATCAACTTTAGCAACACAAGCAGCTATCTTACAAGCTCGAGTAGCACATGACGCCTTTTTTAATCATGTGCATCAACCAAACATAGAGGAAGAGGCAGAGGTTCTAAGAAAATTCAGTGAGTTGAAGTAGTTGAAAGGTGAAAGGATATAGGAGACTAAGATACATCTCAATATGCATTGTTTTGTTATTGATTACAGTCTACTTCATGCGGAAGCCCAATGCGGCAGCTATTACTAACAATTGCTCCCAATAGCGAAATTCTGTTTCAAAGCTAGAATCCTCTATGTGCACATCAACCACGTCTCACCGACTAATATCTCTCGCTACGTGCCAGGATACTACCTTATCCAGACCCTCGGTGTCGCATCACAGCTACTATACAAAAGGAGATCAGACAAAGTTTGATTCAATTTATCACATCTTTAGTACGTTCCATGCTAGAAGAGAAAGCAGAATATTACGCCTCACCTCCATCTTTCCGTTAGCAACAACAATGAGGATTAACAAATTTCGCTTTAGAGGTCAGTTCAATGTAAACAATATGCATGCAAGTGCTTTCTCTGTGGGTTATACACTTTTCAGACTATATTGATCTCTTCAAATATGCGATTGTTCGTATGATGCAGCCGAAGATGATGCATATATATGTGACAAGGAAGATGGGTGTGGTCAACTAGAGTAATAACTCCACGATTTACGAGCTTAAATTTCGAAGGTCTTTTGTGGATAGGATGCACCCAAGGAGCTTGACTGCTTCCATTGTTCGGTAAATTGTGTTAAAGCTCACTTAAATCCGAAAGGCTATTGGTATATTGGAAGGTACATTCGTAAGCCACCAATGACTGGGAAAATGATTCATTTTCTCTTCTTTGCGCAGACCTGAAATGAGTGGGTAGGATTGTGGCGTTCAGTAAAGCGGGCCCTCGAGGTGGCTTGCCATGCTCCTGTATTTCCCTAGGTATAGAAGAGAGGCGCAGTCCCCTCATAATGAAACTAGGTACTCCTGACAAGCTTCATATTAGGGCTTGGACATACGCAATACGCTCAAATTGTGGGTCTGATGAGCTAGAGTAATGATCAAATGCCTAAATAACCGAATACGCATTACTACCCGAATACGCCTTCCTGCCCGTTTAGTGGGGCAAAATTGGTTTTCGCTCAGACTCAGGTCTGCATCTACAATCATGATCACAATATGGAACGTGTTATGCCTCGTATAGCGTAATGCCTTCTAATCCCATTTTCCAGGTTAGACTATCCGAGTCGAGCGTGTCTAGCCTGGCGTTACGGGTCTGTGCATTCGGAGATGTCTGATCTCAAAACACGCTTTAGAGGCTGAGTCCAAGCAAGCTGGATTGTGACCGCAGTATATCTACCTGGACAGACAGTACACAATAACCAACAACACACTACGTCTATTCTACCCAAGTTCTACACCTCGTCAGTCTGCAATCCATCGTTCCTACTATCTTTCAACTATCTCAAGCCGCTCAGCTATCCTCGTTTCTTCTCTACTCAAAACACCGAAAAGAGCTTCTCAAATAGTAACTTCAAACTAAATGGCTGGGCAAAATGGGATATATATTTACTCGCCCAGCCTCGCGGGCGCGGTAATTGCTGCAGGCGCATTTGGCATCAGCGCTATCTATCATCTCGTGCAATTGTTACGAAAGAGGGCATGGTTTTATAGCGCTCTTACAGTGGGCTCCTTCAGTAAGTAAGGGTTGAATAGTTTCTTTTTTTCTCTCATCGTTTGTTAACAAACCTTAGTGATGACCGTTGGCTACGTCTTCCGATACATCTCCGCGAAGTCGCCAGCAGATTTAGGCCCTTACATCGGTCAATCGCTCTTCATCATTCTTCCTCCTTCTCTCTACGCAGCAACAATCTACATGATCTATGGCCGTCTTGTCGTCTTTGTTAGGGCTCCAGAAGCCTCAATCATAAGACCAACACGTGTGACAAAGATATTTGTCTGTGGCGATGTGCTCGCCTTTCTACTACAAGCTGGCGGTGGTGGCATGATGGCGCAAGAAGGTATGGCTAAGACAGGCCAAACGATCATGCTGATTGGCCTTTTCATTCAGCTCTTTTTCTTTGCTTTCTTTTTAATCATCTCGCTTGTGTTCTGGAAGCGGATACGCAGTTCCCCCATTTTTTTCAGCATTCCACAGCATGGAAAATATTCCTGGGTCGCGTTACTTAAGATGCTACTATGTGCGGCAGTCATCATCATCTTACGCTGCATATTCCGGGTTATCGAATTCGGTCAAGGGCATGACGGTTATCTTGCTAGTCATGAAGTCTATATGTACACATTAGACACAGCGCCAATGCTTGCTGTGCAAGTCATGTTTCATTTTATGCACGCTGCTGATGTTTTTGGCCTAGGCCTCTCGGGGAGATTAGCAGATGACGAAAGTTGCATTGACTTATATGTCAGAAGCGCATGACACGAAGATGGAAACAAAGCTGTAGAAAGTATGGAGTGGAAATTTATACACAAGATTGTGCCAGAACCAGTGTTGCACTGATTACAAAATATGGTAGAAATAAAGCAATGGATAGAAGAACATGCATTCGATCCTTTCCCCTATATAATATCCATATGATACCCAAGCTGCGGGAATTCAATCTATCGCCATATCGGTACTCACTACAATTTGCAGCATCCACATGCACTTCTGTCCATAGAATACGTCTATGTTCTTGCCAAAAATGCTTTTTCGTTTTGAAAAGGTGTTGGAGTATCATGACAAACGGGTACTAGAGTGAAGATAGGGTTGGATTAGGTGATAATGTTTAAGGTATCGGACTAACATGAGATGGATTCTAGATAGGTTTCACTTTCCCCGCAGAAAGCATACTGTATACTATGGACTTTCAGGACTTACACGTTCGGATATAGCGCTCTGGATCGGATCCTGTACTTACTCCCACTTCTCAAGCTGCCTCGCTCAATCAAGCCTTGCATCAGTGATTTGCCCGTTCTTGATTGTTTTGGTATTCTTGGGCCCACTGCGGCCACTCCATAGCAGCCAGGCATGAGTAGAGCATTAAGGGAGTTCATAGAGACACACACCTGTTCATGTTCTTGAGAGAAGAATCTATCGAATATCGTTTGCAAAGGTTATCCCATTCTAATAGCCAGCTGTTTCAACATCATACAATAAGAATGCTGATGTCGCACTCATTCCCCTTCCTCACATTCAGATGATTAAGCTTCCACTCAGTCTTATGTCCCGACTACTCGCCCCAACATAAATCATATACTTTCCTCTTTGTAGTGCCCAGCTCTGCTTCACAGTATCCCATATACTAAGATCTCTTCTTGTAAGGTGAAAGTGGACAGTCGTGCTCTCACTTGCCTCCAACGGCACCTTCTCGAATCCGCGTAACTGCTTCGCAGGCGCTCCTGGAATACCAAGATACAGTTGAGCAACTTCAGGTGCAGAGGTGAGACCTGTATTAGTGATTTCGGCTTTAACAGCGACTAGCACATCCCAGAGAGACTCGATACCGCCTTGACCCACAGGCGCAGGTGGTGGCAGAGCAGAGGCATTTGCGCCCAGATCAGTGAGAGCGATGTTAAGGCTGGCGTATTCAAAAGTGGTGTATGTAAGGCCGAAGCCAAACTCAAAACGAGGTATAATGTCGTGGGCATCGAAGTGGCGATAGTCAATGTAGACGCCTTCGGTCAGATTGGCGGATGTGTAATAGTTTGAGGTATTGTCGGCGCGTATGGGAGAGAGGAGGTCGCCGTATTCAGATTCTCTCTTAGCGACGGTATAAGGGAGGCGGCCGGAGGGAGCTTGGTCGCCGTACATAATTGATACGAGTGCACTGCCTGAATCCTGACCCGGGAGATGACCAAAAAGAACTGCGGTGATATTTGGGTGTTCGATCCACTGGTCTAACAAGCGCGTGCCCGCGTTATGGATAGATACAATAGTCTATATGCTGATTAGCTATATTGCAGGTTAATACAACAAGTATAAATGTATCAACCTACGTTAGGGCATTTAGAGGCAACGTTGATCACCAACTTGTCCGACCAACGGTCAGCAAGCGTGGACCTATCCTGCCCCTCTGCGGCAAATTCATTGATAAAAACGATGCAAGCGTCAGAGCCGGCGTTTGCATAGACGGGATCCTGGGATTCAAAGTCCCAAAATAAAAAGGTATTATCCTCAAGCGCCCTTTGCGAGAAAGCCGCGAAGGGTGAAGAGACGTAAGCAGGCACGGTAGAGGCGCTACCGCCTCCACTGAGAAGCGTACCGGATCGCGCGGCCCCAGGCAGGTCTCCGACGCCGATGAACAAGCCTTGCATTTCTTCATCAGTGACATTGACACTCTGGTATCCCAGGCTATACTTTGTGTTAAGACCTTCGGGCATGTTCTTTAGAGAAATATGAGCATCGTATCCGTAAAGACTAAGTATCTTTGGCTTCTTCAAGGGTAGCGTGTGGTTGTGGTTCTTCACCAAAACGATGCCTTCAGCAGCGCCTTGGAAGATGTTTCTTCGAGACGAAGGATTTATTGCGCTCACGACCTGATGTTTCTTAGAAACGTTTGCTGGAATCCCGGAACCCGGTTCAAATTTCGCAAGTTTTATCCAGGGAGCGACAATGCTAGATGTCAAGGTTAGCGATGGACTAACATTGAATTCGATGCTGTACCGTTTAACCATGTCGTCGAGCCTGCTAGCCTCCAATGTGTGATTTGAGATTGCCATTGTGAGGTTTTTGCCCCAGATTTCTTCAAATGGCGTGACAACATCCATACCGGCGTTGGCCGCGGCAATGCCGGTGTGTAAAGCACCGTAGTCACTGAGAACGTATCCCTGGAAAGCGAGCTCAGTCTTTAGCAAATAATTCAAGGTGTAACTATTTTGACAACCATGAGAGCCGTTGATGCGATTGTAAGAGCACATGACAGATCCTACGCCAGCTTTGACGAGATCCTGGAACGGCCATAGGTACAGCTCATGCATCGTTTTGTCATCCACGGTAGCCGATACAGACGCGTTCCCAAGCCCAAAAGAGCTTGGATTGCGATTAGTCTCCTGCTCGTTGAGGATGAAGTGTTTTGCAGTTGCAATAACGTGCTCCTGCATCCCCAACACAGTTTGAGCACCCATGATGCCGCAAAGGTAAGGGTCCACCGAAAAAGATTCCTAGCTGTTTGTCAGATATGAATCCAATCCTCGACATAGCTTACACACCCAATTTCTGCCGCCCATGACTACGCGGCCAAGGGGGCCAACTGTCGGTCCCAGCAGATTGTTGACTGGATGGTAATATCAGTTGTGCGTGCAAAGGTAGCTTCACCATTGATCTGCTTACCGCCCTTCACCTTGGACTCCAGACCCATAAATTGACCACGTTCAAGGGCAAGTGTTTTGTTCCATGTCGCACCAATAGTGATGCCAGATGGATAGCCGTTCACAGCAGCGATGTCATGAAGACCGTTCGGACCATCATTTACACAAATGCCAGGAAATCCAAGACGAGGAACTCCGGGTATCTGGCCCGAGCATCCATTTGTGGTGGACGTTTGTCCGGAGACAACGGAAACCTTCTCTTCAATAGTCATCTGGTCAACTATTGCCGATGCCTGCTGATAAGCATCGGCCCAATCGTCTAATCCTTTGGCCTGTGCTGCGCATAGATTGACATTAATGAGCTGGCCAGTAGAGAAACTTGCAATCATGGAAGAAAGGTTACTAACGGGTTGGATAGAAAGGAGGACCCCTATTGTAGCTCCAATAGAGCTCCTGAGCCTCAATCACTTCGAGCGTTGCGGGAACCTGACCGTCAATAGCTTGCTGGAAGATTTTCAAGATCTTGGTTAGCTTTTCTGCAGGCAAAGACTCGAGGTACTGCCTCGTGGCATCGTCGATAGGCAGGCCATCCGGGATCTGCGCAGATGAAAGAGAGAAGGTGGACAATAGTACGAGCAAAATTCGAGTTGCGAAAATAAAAGCCATCATGGAAGGCGTGCGGTGATGAATTTGCAGTGTGGTGCTGCGCGGCTTTTATACTGCATAGTCATGAACCGCATGGTTAAGCACATCTTGAATATGTAGTGATGGTACAATAGAAAGTGCTATGCAAGACCAGCTGTGGAGACGAAATTAGCAAAATAGGCTAACGTCCCCTAGATCAGTACGCAGAGCGTATGGATCTGGTATACGCACAGCGTATCCGGTACGCCCGGCTATACGCCGCAGTGAACCCTGCACTTATGCAACAGCGGAGGACCGCCCAGCAAGCGTTCATGCATCGCCAACAACACCAAGCAATGCTTGCACACCAGCAAGGCAACATGGGCATGGGATTCCAGAACCCCATGGCAAACATGACCCCAGCCCAAGCACAACAGTGACAGGCAATGCGAAACAGACAGCTAGGCCAGGGTCCTTTTGTCGAATTTCCACCACACCTGCTTCAACAGCAGCAGCAAATGGGACAACCTGGAGGGCCACAACACCAGGCCGCTATGACGAGCGCTTACCAAGAAGCCCTGCAACACCAACAGATGCAGCAACAACAAGCGATCGCAATGCAACATACTAAGTCACAATCGAGCAACCATAGCCAGAGAGGGAACCAAGGACCCCAGCAGACTTTGCAGCCTCAGCCCCAACCAGGCATATTGCCAGGCGACTAACAGATACCACCACCTCCAGCGCCCATGAACGAACAACCACGACCCGAATCATTTCCCTCGACATTGCACCAGACAGTAATTCCCAAGAAGAAGGAGAAGCTAATCAAAGACAAAAAGGTACAGTTGCGCGCTCCCCACTCGGCATTGAGCTACATTGGTACTGATTCTAGAAGTCCGCAAATAGGAAAGGGGACAATGCAGGTGCGATGAGAATACGTGTTCAGCCGACCATTTCCAAGGATCATTCCAGAAGGGATAGCAAACAACGTAGATCACTACTTGTGGCCCTAGAGAAGAAACATGGCTTTTAGTCATGTTCAAGCGCCTACATGATGCAGTGCTTGGGTTCGATTGATATACCAAATATAAGCAGAACGAATCATATTCAAGGCGGGGATGAGACGCTGCGCCCCGTCAACCAGACAATTCCGAGCACACTCGCATAGCTGGCTTCAGGCTGCGACTGCTTACACCCTTTGCGACCCATAAGTGATTATGTACCACCGCCCACGTACACTTGGCAATTATGAGGCAACGGTCGCATACAATGTATGCTTGCGTTGGAAGACCGCAACACCACGTTCCCTGACCGTGTCCGAGTCATGCTTTTATGATGAAGCGACGTGGGTCTGCGCCGTCGTCGACCTTGATCTAACGCCTCCTTAACGTCCCGCAACACTCACAGCACAAGACAATCGGTTTCAATCGATGCGCGAGTGGGGCAGTACAGCGCAGCTCGGCCTGGTGGGGTCACATTGACCAAGCTGAGGTGACAACGCCTCTTACGCGCTCTCGCCCGTGAGAGATGATAGTATCAGCTTGCTCTCTCATATGCGTTAGTGAGGTCACGCACTGCTCTGAGAATGCAAGCGAGATTGGCCAAACTGCAGGGCTATAACATAAGCAAGTGATCAATGAATGAGCCCCTTCCGCCCCACTGCTAGCCGACGCTCACAGTTGCGCAGAACAGTATCAATCGCACCACTGTGCGTTCGCCATACTAGCACGTTAGCGGCAGGCTGCAGCGTCGGCCATAAAGCTAAGGCTAAGCGATAACAGATGTTGAAAGTGCTGCTGCTGCTAGACTATGGAACTTTATGAGAAACAATGTAGTGATACATATAATCGTTATGTGACTAACTAATTATAGTTAATATTTACGAAAAGCTTTAAATGTAGAAGATTGCGTCAATTGTCCAACTATGATTGCCTGAGATTCTGAGCACACGTAGCAATAATTAGTGGCTGGCAAGGTGGCTAGGTGCTCTAGCTACATGGTTGCCATGAATATGTTTCTGCTAGAGTAAAGAAGTAGCCTTTAAGGACCTCCTTACAAAGCTGATCATACCGGTTCTGTTTCTGAAAGTGCTGAACGACGTCCTCCATAGTTTTTCCTATGATCTTCTTGCCAGGATGTTTGCCATTAAGCGTTTTTGCCTTGGCCTCACTAATGCCAATTGCCCAGAAGCGGTTTCCAGGTATACACTCAATGTAAGAACAAAGCCTCGAAAGCTCACGAATGGCTTCATTCGTTCCCTTCTTAGCTACTGTGTACTCTTCCCTCTATGGGAACTATGATTAGTCAATGAGCTAACAGCAATCGCGTTGGTGCTAACCAAGCGTTGGGGTGAAGGTTGCCGCACAGCTTGCGGTCGGCTTGAGGTATCGAAGTCAGGTTCTTCATCGCTGGGTGCATACTGGTCCTGTGGTGTCGCGTAGGTTGAAGAACTGTTTGGGGTACGCTGGCGCCGGAGTTAGATGGGCGACATGCGAAGGAACTCGTTGCACTGAGAAGGGTGGTACTCTAGTGGCAGCGGATCTTGGACGGGAATTTTATTTAGCAAGTCATCATAACTATACGATCTTACAGCCATTGAACTGAGAGGCGGCATCCGGACGCCGCTTATAGTTCTGGAGCAGTGTCTGTAGCGCACAAAGCGTAAAAGCCAGAATCTAGCTGACAGCTGTCAGATGCAGACGATTATCTCATCCCGTGCTCTCCCCAACATCGCCTTTCGGCACTGACAAGAGATAGTAAACTGTCTCAGGGTCGTCGGATATCCGTAGGAAGACGGATGCTTCGCCGGTGCAAACACAACCGTACTCTAGCCCCATGTTTACCATATACGAAGTAGGAGAAAGCTTGGTTGATGGCCACGGTTGAGAACCAACGCGCATGCTGTTGCGGAGGATCGATGTCTTTGCAGCAAATCGCTTCTTCGAGCTCCATATCTTCCAGTCCTTCGTAGATGTAACCAAGCGGCAGCTTGTGGGGTGCCTTACACTCAGTTATGGATGCTACAACGAGGCTCTCTGCGATGTGAGTAGTTATGTTGTAGACGCAGGTCTGATCTGCAAGAGGACGGGAGGATCGCTCCAGATATGAGCTGCCTGAGGCGACCAGGCCTGTAAGTTCCATACCGTTGGCGAACTGTTCCTCCTGAGTCTAGGCTTCCAAGCGTGAAGACCTTCGCCGGTGGGTCACTGATACTGTCATTTGCTCCATAACCTCCTGTATTTGCGCTTCTGGAGTGAGAGTGTTGGCATAATTCTCGAATTTTATTGAAACAGGTCCGCAATTTTGAACTCAGTGTGAAGTTTTCGTAGAACAGTTCGATGGTCATTACGTAGCACAGCACTACCGGTTAATAGTTCGTAGCGATAGTTACTCGGCGCTTGAGAGGTCTTTGTCGAATGAACGCCAATAACATTGAAGAACTGCTGTCGACCACTGCTCGCTGAGATGACAAAACTGTACAATGGAAAAACTCACGCCGGCTAATTCTGCCTAGTTTCACATCCGGTTATATCGCGCGTGTGTGTGTGCATGTTTGTGTGTGTGTGTGTGTGTTCAGATTTTACGTCCTATCTAACGCCTCTCGTGGGGTATGCGGACGGATGAGGGGCAGGGCTTACGGTGCTGCAACACCGCCTAGTCTCTCCTATTTGTAGGGAGACCGGGTCTGCGTGAAAAATAAAAATAGTAATAGGTAAGGAACACAGGCTATGAAATATTTCAAGACGCAATCGATTTTGTTCACTACACAATTGTTGAACGTAACACTACAGTGTAATCAGGTGTAAAAGCCTTAGCCTTGGGTAAATGACGAAGATGGACCTAAGAGATTTTCAGACGGTGAAGATATCACCCATGGTCGTGACGACGGTAATGAAATTACATCGAGAGCCTGTGGCGAAGAAAATTTAGGAATATGTGACATTGCTGAGGATGGCGCCAATCTAATCTACAAGATTCTGAGAGATTAGAAGTTCCCCTGACCCTCTCAAATCCTTATCGTCCCATTCAGTATCCTTTCAATGGCTGATGTCCACCTCATTCGTGGATTCAAAATCAGCAGCCACAGCCACAGGCCTTGCAATCTCCCTTGCCACATTTGGCAGCCTTGTTGTTGTAAGACCATTCGCAGTCCTGCCACCTGCCACAGGGAGTCCAACCTCCATTGCCGCTTTCGTATGCGAGCCAGCACCAAGTCTTCTTGAGACCAACGTCAGCATTGACGAAAGGACCATCGCAGTTCCTCCAGCACCAGCCATTATCACAGCCATAATCGTAGTCGTAGCCCGAGCCACGTCCTCCCTTTGAGCAAACACCCCGTTTAGCGAGCGTCGCAACCTCATCGAGAAGTTCTCCGCGCTTGGAAGAGTTGGTGACTTCCGTCTCTGAAGCTGGGTCGTACAGAGGGCTGGCGATTCCAAGTTCAGAGGGATGCTTCTTGCACTTTCGGAGAGCAGAAACGTCAGTGCCTTCGGGTAGGCTTGCTAGGTCCCACTCCATGACTCCGAGTTCGCCACAATCTTCAACAGTGGCTTCGACTGCAGAGGTGGTTGGAGAGCATAGAGCTCCGGTAGCGGCGAGGCCGAGAAGAATAGACAGAAGCTTCATTTTGGTAATGTTGAAAGTAGAAGATACCGTTTTGATGATGGTTGTTTGTGTAGCTGAGAGCTGTGGTAGAATTCAAGCAGCGTAGCAGATGCCCTTTATACATTGAAGACTCTGGTAAAGCTGTTCTAGATACTTACTAGTAGAGGGCCTTGTGGTTGCTTGACGAACTCGGCTCCATGAGGCCCCCTGACCTGAGATTCTGTGTATGTGGTTTGCTTGACGAACTCGGCTCCATGAGGCCCCCTGACCTGAGATTCTGTGTATGCGGTTGGCTTTCATGATCAGAGTATGATCAGGTTAATGTGGTTCTATGGTATACGAGGTACCCACTCCTTGGCGTAAGTATGCCTCCGGGGACCAGGGATCTCGATCAAACCGTTTGAGAATTGATGGGCTTTTACACAGCTAAAGACACAGAAACAACTTAAAAGCTCTGGTTACAAGTTCAATGATAAGAGCTTTCTTTTCTCTGTACCTATTACTTCCAGTCTCACTGTTCATAATGTTAGGAAGGTTGGCGATAGCAACTAGCATTCCTCCCTACATTACTATCCTCGTTAGTTAAGGCATAACGAATGCGAGTCATGGAACCTCCGCGCCACTCGCTAAACACTGCCTATCTTTGAGTATTCGTTATCACCCAACCTCGAATTTTTCATCAAATTGATAGACCTAGTTGTTGGTTGTAACACTGCGCTAACCCAACATGGAATCTCATTCGGTCTGCGATGCCCGAGGCTAGAGGGCCTTGCAGTAGCTTAGCGAACTGGGCTCCATAAGGCCCACAACAAGATCGTATTCGGAATCGCCTTATTGATTCTTTCTGGAAAACTTTACGAAAAGCTCGTATCTAGTACGTAAATGGATTTTTTTTCGCCGACGTCCGGACTTCATCACTGTGGCAAAGGGACATCCTTCTCGGAACGGGTCGTAGCTTTAATTTTCAGCACCACGGCATGAGATTACATTCACGAGGTTTCCTATACATTACTGCAAGTACTAGGTGATATGATATGTGGCATTTTGACAGCTATCATAACAGTTTCATTGCTTTAATCCCTTCAGTGTCGTCAACATTGAGAGCCTGAAGACATTCATAAGCTATGACAAAGTCGGTTTATATCCAGATATAGGTATGGTATCATTGTGCATAATATGTAACCGAATCAAATCGCAACAAAACTTCTTCTCTTGAGGCAGTTCAAAGAATATGTTAACCTGTAGTTTCTCATTCGCTAATGTCATTTTCCTTCCAAAAGATTACGCGGCGGAACGGGCCGGACCAACCATCTGCAAATCCGCGCCACTAAGTTCATCTTCCAGCCACTGACTCGTCGCATTCTAGTAGGCCAATTGTATATTATTTCTCGGCGCACCGACAATGATACTAGCACATATCCTAGTTGCATAAGCAGTGTTCGCTCATCCAATGTCCTACTGTGGTTATCTCGCGATACTTTGACCACCTGGTGCTGCCTTTGAGTTCAATAGAACCCAGATGACCGCGAACATGGAGCTCAAGCTGTCTTTCTCTTCAGCGACGCTCACAAGCCGTTCTATTCACAATTTTCATCTCAACCGACCCCGCTGAGTAGTGATTAAACACGGTTTAGAAGTAATCCAATTCTCACGGAACAACTACCCCGAAAATGTTCGCCTTTTTTTTCAGTGAGTCTCGAAGACGAAGTGTGTATTTGTGTACCATACAGCACCTCTAAATGGCAGTTAGGGTATTCAGATACCTAATTTCCAACACACTGGGTTAAATATGTACTAGTGCAGTAGAACAACTGAGTCTTGGGATCGGTAATCAACTCATGTTATCCAATACATATTGTGGTAGATTATGCCCACAAGATATTAGAAGTAGAGGCTGTGACCGATAATCAGCGCGGTAGAAGGAAAGTATCAATCATACAGTCAATAACGGTCTCTGGGAGTGAACTTGTTACTTTCCAGCAGAATATTGAAGTCGTTAGAGTTGCTAATTTTACTAGCAGGAGGATTATTCTCATAAATGGCTGGGTCATCGGTGGAAAAGTCCTTGAGACTCCATAGGCTAAACAGCAATTGTCCAAAGCATGCTGTCAGTGGAGGTGCTATAGTTGTAGAGGACATCTCTTTCACAATGGTCACCGACTCGGTGTCCATAAATCTTCAATTGTTGGAATCTCGACATATTTTCCGCCACCGCTTGTCCTTCAACTGCATAGAGCCAAGTACAAAAGGAGGTGGTAGTTATACGAAAAATCACATGGAGATAGCACACATTTTGGACTGATAACAATACTATGTTTGGAGCGCTCACTGTGAGCCAAATGCTGCAGCTATGGGCCTTGGTCCAGATCTGTTGCCAACGCGACACATTGATTCTTCGCATAGGGATCGTCTGCGTCGGAGGTATGATATGCACATACACGACGAGCATACTGTGTAAGTACGAAGGTGCTTGTCGAGAGGGCTTGATGGTAGCTCTTCGCTCGATATTTTTCCCTGCTTTCTAATTGGACCACATGCCGATAATTGACCGCAGATGTGCACAAATTATCGCAATTGCAGCTATGCATGTTGGCCCGCACATTGCACATCGCGCACAATTGCAGCGCCCCATAGATTCAGAAGCACAAGCCGCGGTTTGCCGAACAGTTGGTGTTCCATTTCGGCAAGACGCATTCACCGCCGTTTGGTCCCCCCACCTTGTAGGTCCACCCTGCCTGGATTAACGTCGCTCCGACGTCACCATGTCCGCCCGGGCAACAACCGAAGTCTCGCCTACGTTTACGTAAGCCGCACTTAGCGCCTGCCCACTGAATATATAAACCCCTCCTCCCACCTCTCTTCTGTTCTTTAGCTCTGTGAGTCTTTTCCCCACGACCCCCTACTGTTGAGACCACAACACTAACGTCATGAAGCTTTGCCTTTTGGCTTAGATCAAGTGTAGTAGTATGTCAGCCCCTATATCCAGTTTGCCTTCTCCCGCTAACGAAAGCTAGTCTGTTCTTTTCAGTTTAATCTCTGAAACGTGACTACGGTCACATTCAAGATTATTCTTATTTTTGTAACCAGTGGACGGCTCCCTGGGCTTGCTCATAGTCGTCCTCACAGTGTCGTCCGTATTGCACTACCTCGGACTGACGCGAACTTTTTCATCAAGACTTCTGGATAGCTCCTGTTGCTTGAGGAAGAAGGTTGTCGTGGTCAAGTTCTTAATACCAGTAACAATACACTCAACAATATTCAACAATGCGTATCCCTAATGTTTCCTCTATCTCCTGCGTGGGCTGCGCCTCACGACACTTCAGCTCAATATACTTGTCATTAAAAAATTACTATCTGCGTTTATCTGTAACGCCGCTTATGTTATCTTAAACCATATTTACACGCATTAATAGTAATATCTAATATTACAGTAGAGATTAATTAATAACCTCTAATTACACAAGAAGTAGAAGCGCTAAGTTTACCTCTTATCTCTGTTATCTCTTGGCGAAGCGTTTTATTAGCTATAACGTGTTTCACCAGTGTGCGCCCCACCCCAGTGTGCGCCCCACGAAATCCTAGTACCTCACCTTCGCAATAATAACGCGTAATGTCTCAATAACGCCAAACTCCTAAGACCTATACTGAAGCTGACGTTACTATTGCTATCTCTGATCTCTAAAAACGCGAAAACTTAAGCCTAAGGCGTGCTGAATTAATCTATAGTGTGCTAAGACGGACGATACAAAGGCGACGTAATGGAAAGCCCTGTCGACGCGACTACGAACCACCAACTAAGCGCCTAACAAAACTAGAAGAGGAGGCCATTACTTAACGTGTAATAGTTGAGGCTGAGCGAGGACTACCCTATAGGAGAGACGACGTGCGAGATATAGCTAATAGACTGCTCCGAGAGCGCGGTGGAGAGGAGGTTGGCAAGAACTGGGTTGATAAGTTTGTCCAGCGCAATCCTGAGCTGCGTACGCGCCGGAGTCGTCTATATGATTGTTAGCGAGCTGCCTGCGAAGATCCAGCGCTTATTAAGGGCTGGTTCGAGCTGGTTCAGAATACGAAGGCGAAGTACGGTATCGTGGACGAAGATATCTATAACTTTAATAAGACTGGCTTTATTATAGGTAAGATTTTATTACAGTCAGTTATCACGGGCTTAGACAAACTAGGAAGAACAAAGTAGATCTAGCTAGGTAATCGTGAGTGGGTTACGCTGATATAGGGCGTTAGCGTAATAGGCAAGCGTATTCTAGCATTTCTCATCTTCGCAGGTAAGGTTCTGATCTCTACCTGGTTTACGGAGGATCTGCCACGCGACTGGGTAATACAAGTTAGTCCTACTGGCTGGACGAACAACGATCTAGCGCTTGACTAGCTTCGTCACTTCGATTCCCATGCGCGGCCTGTAGGGACGCATAGGCTGCTCATTATTGACGGCCATGAGAGCCACTGCTCGGTGGATTTCCGAGATCTCTGCGAAGAGATGAAGATAATCCTCCTCTGTATGCCTCCCTACTCGTCGCACCTCTTACAGCCTCTTGATGTGGGCTGCTTCTCGCCGTTGAAGCGCGCGTATGGTGATGCTATCTCAGTCTTAGCACGCAATCGCATCTATCACATCAGCAAAGAAACCTTCCTACCAGCGTTCAAAACGGCCTATCATAAGGCTATTACACCAGAGAATATCCGCGGAGGGTTTCGAGGTGCTGGGCTTACTCCACATGATTATTACGTTGTTTTATTATAGCTTGACGTCGTGCTGCGTACGCTGACTCCACTAGCGCAAGAGACCACTACCTGGGAGCCGAAAACGCCACGCAACGCGCGCGAAATGGAGGCGCAGGCTACGCTTATTCAAAACCGCATGCAAATCCAGCAAGGGTCTCCTATAACTTCTCTTAAGGAGCAGATACAGTAGTTAAGTAAGGGAGCTTAGCAGATAGCTCATAATATGGTGCTTATGTATGAGAAACTTAATCGCCTTAAAGCTACGATTAGTAAAGTAATAAAGCGAAAAACTCGTAAGAGGCGCTACGTACAGCCGGAGGGGTCCCAGACAGTTAGCCAGATAGCTAATTAGATAGCTAAGGTAGAGGGTGGTAGCTGTAATGAGGGTGTAACGCCCGCGAAGAGGGTACGCAGTGAACGGCGCTGCGGACGTTGCAGCCAAGTTGGACACAATTCTCGCACGTGCCAAGTAGAATTAGAGGATACAGAGGATAGCGACGTATCTGAAGAATAATATCCTGCTCTACTTAATAAAAATATTATGGTGGTGTTGCGTAGTACTATTACGAAGGTGAGGTACTAGGATTTCGTGGGGCGCACACTGGGGTGGGGCGCACACTGGTGAAACACGTTATCGCTATAATACAATACTTTTATGCTCCGGTATTGCTGAAGACATAGTTAGCGAAGCGCTTACAATTAATAAGTGCACAGCTGTTATAATATTAGAATTCTATTTTCGTAATCTACAGCATATTATCTGTAGCAAAAGAGGGACGGGGGCGTAAAGACTACTAACGCTTACGATTAGTTATACTGTTAGTGGCGCTGCGTATTTATCTATTCTTGTGGCTCTACGCATTGGTTAATTGGTTTACGTCGCTGTGCAATAAGGGCATAGACCTGATCTTGCGCAGCGCTCTACATATAATACGATATAGTTCCTTGCAAATTATGCTATCCACAGCACCTACTCTTGTCCTCGTCTGCCATCGCAACTGCTCTGATAGGCTAGTACCTAGCATACCCACATGCGTGAGTGGAGTTCTGCGGTTTGCCTATATGCTACGCTCGATAGAACGTTGCGGCGCAAGGACTGCTTACGGCGAATCAGAACTGCGTCTCTGGCACTGCTATTGCGTTTTCAATATGTTAGTGCCAGCGCTGCGCTGCCTATTAGCTGCTCATACAGGCCTGACCTAGTTTCAGCCTAATGCGCCTTACACGTCTCTAGAATAAACATCATTTCTAACTACGTTATATGTATGATCATTAGTAGTCGTATATACACTCGTAGTAGAGAAAGTAATTAGAGAGATGTGCACTAGCAACGCCTATAAGTTGCAACTTATACTCACGCTCGTGCCCCGCGAAACATGTCCGCTATAGTTACTAAGGAAGCCTTCGTCGAAGTCCTTCGCACTTAGGTGCAGCAGATAACGAGCCTGTTATTAGATATCGACTACTAACTAAACACTTTAGAAGAGTCTTCGTTAACGACAAAAAAGTAGGTAGAGAGACATCAACTCCGCTCCGCACCAAAATCTTAGAAGCAACGGCAGCTATATTAATTAGCCAATTAGATTAAGAGATCTAAGTCTTAGACACACGACATCTTTAAACAACTTCTCGATAGAGTAAGGGCCTTCTCAAACATAGATTTAACATCATTAATGTTACACGGGGTATGGGTCTATACTTCTCTATCCTAGTCCGCACTAAGGCAGGTGAGTATTACGTTAGTGTTCCGTGAGGCTTGTCTGGCGATGCAGTGGAGTTGGCGTACTTAAGAAGGGTTTGACAAGACTAATCTATTCAATAGACTAACTTATGACAATCTTGTTAAGTAAAGATACTGTTATGGGCGAAGAGGCCTTCGAACGAGTTTGCATTAGCCTATGGTACAGAAGAAGAAAGATAAGAAGAGTTAAGCTGTCGTACGACACCTCTCTCTTTATACCTTACTTCTCTACTCTTCGTACGAGTAAGTTCTAACTAAGCGGTGTGATATAGGCACGTGATGTAGGCACGTGATACAATCACGTGCTTTCACTCCACAGGCGCAGCCCATTACAATACCCCCCCTCTATACCGTATGCGGCTGCTTGGCGGTCCGCGTGTTTGCTCGTAGTTTGAATAGTTATGTTGTTGCCTAGCTGTGACGTACGTTTGCTAGCAGACTCGTAGTAAGTTGAGTGAAAACGACTTTCCGTACGGTATAAGTATCAGTGACGCCGCGTTAGTTGGTGCTTGTTCCTTAGTCGTGATCCGCTCTCTCTTCTAACTTAGATTTCTTACTCTTCTTTCCTTTCCTTTTCTTCTTCTTCATACGATGCCTCTAAAAGCGCAGCCTGGAGGACGTGGGCAGTGGGCCACGGGTGGTGTGAACGCTCTGCAGTTCTGCTCCAACGGTGCTCCCAATGATACTATCACGGCCGTGGCAGCTCAGATCTTTGCTGCTGCAGATCGTGCTCTCACCCGTACGACTCCTGGTGCGGTTTAGTCGGCTGTTAACATCGCTGGCACGATTAATGTCAATGAGTATCGTGTCTGGTATATCTTCGACGTGGCTGTCGCTGACGAGCTTCGTCGTGTTTTCGCTGCCGCCCCTGTAAGTCTCTTTCTTCTCTTTCCGTACGGCTCGTGGGTTAATTAGGTTTAGGAGGATATTCGGCGCGTTTTCGACTTCTTCTGCCGCCCCCGTGGTAACAGCCCTTACGATGCCATCTTTAGTGCCGGTTTGCGCGATTACTCGCCTATCGTAGCTCGTACGACGATTACTACTCGCCAAATCCTTACTAGTTATCTATTGTATCTTAAGGCTTTCGTCGTCTACACTCGTAGTAGCCTTAACGCGCGGTTCTGTACGAATAACTGCGCTGCTGTTCTTAAGGGCGAGAAGGAGTTTACGGCGTTTGCGGGCTGTGTGTTGATTCTAGGTGAGTAGGGAGGAGCCTATTCTAACTGTATCTAGCAGAATTATGGCGCTCGTTGCAACGTCCCGCGTGGTCCTGGAGGTCGTACGACGGCTCCCTCTAAGCGCGTGTCTGGTGGTTCGGACGGTGGCGGCCCGCGTAGGCGACCGGCTCTGGGAGGACCTTCCAACCCGCTGCTCCTTGAGTAGCTGGAGCTTCTTACGCTAGTTCTTTTTAAGCTGGCTATTGGGTTGTCGTACGGGCCGGGTATAAGTTAGCTAATGCTAGAGGGCCGAAGTGTCCGTGAGGTGAGCAGCAGGCTCCTATATAGGTATTTGATAGCCTACCTAATGAACGAGGTATTCTATTCTCTTTTGTCGCCTCCTCTCGTCTGTGATGTCTCGTACGGTCCACTTAAGGTACTCTTCTTCATTCTCGTCTTGTACGATAATAGCCGCTGGGTTAGAGTCGTCTATCTGCTAGGATAGTAGAGGGTTGTCGGCGGCTGGGCGGATTTTGTCTATATGGTATGTCTTAGTTTCCTAAGGCACGGCTAGTTCTACCTAGTAGGGGTCTCGTACGCGTGATACCTGGAATTTCCTATTTTTCTAATTGAGTTTCTTGCTAGTTCTTGTAGTTCATACGTTGCGTAGGTCTAGCTATACTTAGTCTCCTACCTGGTACGTTGGGGCTAGCTTACGAGACTTATTTGCCTGTCGTTCTTGTTCTTGTTGAGCGTAAGTTATAGCGGATATAGCCTAAGTTGAGGCGTTACTAATCGTACGGACTATTTCCTTTGTAGTATCGGTTACGTTAGTAGTCCGCGCGATATCTTGTTCTTGTGGAAAGGGAGTATTATGGTAGCTGTGGTGGAGGAAGAAGGGGGAGACTCCCGTTAACGCGTTCGTACGCGAATTGAGTATAAGTTCTAGGAGGGGGTAAAGCTGTGACTAGTTATCTTGATCGTAGTTACAGAAGATTCGTACGATAGCTTTAATATCGCTATTCGCGCGTTTAGTTATTCCGTCCGTCTGTGGGTGGTATGCTGTAGAGAGGTTGCGCTGGATGCCTAGTAGTTGGCAGATCTGCTTCTAGAGAGAGCTTGCGAATTGAGGGCCCCTATCGGACGTAATTGACTGTAGTAAACTATGGTGCCGGTAGACTTCTTATATAAATGCCTAAGCTACATCTTCTGTCTCGATTTTGTCTATAGGGATTAGTACGGCGCTCTTGCCCAACCGGTCCTTCACTACTATTAGGTTGGTCTTTCCTTGGGATGGTGGTAGCCCTGTAATAAAGTCCACGGTGAGGTGCTGCTACGTACGGCTAGGCACAGGTAACGGTCGTAAGTATCCGTATTTCCTATCTCGCTAGGGTGTGCTTTTGCGACACAACTCGCAGTTTCGTACGAAATGGTGGATATCGTTACCTAGGTTTGGCTAGTACCATTCACGTGTGACGATTCAGTAGGTTTCTTCTTGTTCTAGATGTCCCGACAGTAGGGAAAGGTGGGCTACCTGGATAACTCCCGTATGGAGTGGTTCGTAGTCGGGTACCTATACTCTACTACGCTAATAGAGTTAGTCTTGATCGTTGATCGTATAGTCGCCTAAGGAGACTGCGACTCTTCTTGAGCTTGGGAGCGAGCGCTTCTTCTCTTGTATGGCTAGCTTTATTTCCTGGTAGAGTAAGTCTTCTCGTATGGCGTGGTCCTACGACGACTGGATTAGCTCTGAGAGGTCCGGTGGTTGTGGGAGTGTAGGTGATACTAGAGAGGTTTCTGTAGGCCGTATAGGTAGTGCAAGGATCGGGTCTGGGGTATACGCTGGTACTAGCATAGTAAATTCTCTTGAGGCGTGGTGGTCGTCCGAGGCGTCCTTGGGCATGTCTTGGTCTCGTTGCGATAAGGCGTCTGCTCGTACGTTGTCCTTGCTAGGTCGATATCGAAGTCTTATGTTTGGGAAGTGGGCTAGTTTGAGAGACTATTGTATGTAACGTTCTAAGAGTTTCTGCTTTTTCGTGAAGAATTCTAAGTTCTTATGGTTAGTAATAACTTTAAACTCTCGTATACTACGGAGTTCCGTATCCTATTCTTTTAAGTAGGTAATAACCGCTAGAAGTTCCTTATTGTGGATTGGGTAGTTTGCTTCGTGTACTAGTAGTTTTCGTGATAGGTAAGCAACCGTATGTAAGGCTTTATTCTTATCTTCCTGGAGTAGCACTGCTCTAAGGGCTCGTCTAGAGGAGTCGCATTCGACGATTATACGATGGTTAGGGTTAAATATAACTAGAACTTCTTCTGAGAGGAATGCTTTCTTTAGAGTAGTGAAGCTTAATTCTTGCTTAAGTCCCTATTTAAACTTCTTGTTCTTCTTAGTTAGGCGTACGAGAGGTTCGGCGAGCTTAGAATAGTTAGGGATAAACCTGCGATAGAAGTTGACGAAGCCTAGAAATCCTCGCACTCCTCGTACGGTAACTGGCGCTTCCTATTCTTGAATTGCTTTTGTCTTGTCTGGATCTATAGATACGCTCTCCCCTGCTTAAAGAATAAACCTGAGATATTTCGTACGTTAGATATTGAATTTGCACTTCTTTAGCTCTAGCTGTAGCTCTGCGGCTTGAAGACGCTTTATAATACGTTGTACGTGTTTGTGGTGTTATTCCTGCGAGCTATCTGTATAGATAAGAATATTATCTAAGTAGGCGGAGGCGAAGTTGTCTAGGAAGTTCTGTAGTACCTAGTTGACGTATCTTTGGAACGTGCTTGGTGCGTTCGCGAGTCTAAAAGGGGTTACTAGCCACTCGTACGATTTAAAGCGCGTTCGGAAGGTAGTTATCTATTCTTATTCTTCCGCAATATGGATATGGTGGAAGGCTGCTGTAACGTTGAGCTTCGTATACTACTTTGCTTGTCCGACTTAGTTTAGCGTTTCGCGGATGAGCGGGAGGGGGTAGTGGTCTTTTCGGCTTATCGCGTTTAGAGCGCGATAGTCAACGTAGAATTATAGCTCTCCTCTAGGTTTTTATATAAATAGAATGGGCGAGGCTGTAGGGGAGTTGCTTGTACGAATAAACCCCTTCTCGAGTAGTTTGTATAGCGTCTTTCTTAATATAAGAAGTTTATCTCTTAACATGCTATAGAGTGGCCTGTACGGGACTTCTAGTGTTTTCCTATCCTTATTAGGTATAAGTTTAATCTAGTAGTCTACCTTTAGGCCTCTTAGAGGAGATAACTCCTTTCCTTCTTTTAGCGTAAACAGCTCTGCGTATAGCTATAGATAGGTAGAGAGTTACTGCCTTACCTCTTCTTTTGTAAGAAGCGTCTTTAGACGTAAGGCTTTTTTAATATCTTAAAGGCTTGCGGCGAATACTTATATAGCTGGCCGCTTCTTACTTTGTTATATATAGTGCTTAAAGGCGGCCGCGGAGACTGTAAGAGGGTTTATTTCTTATATAGAGGACTTAGTACTTAGAACTAAGATTCTATAGTAGTAAAAGCGTAAGCGTTGTTGTAGGGTATTAATTACGCCGCCTACGTCTTTAAGCTAGGTCTTTTCTAGAATTATATTGTACTTGTACGTAGATAGGACAATATAAGCGGCTGCTTGTCGTTTTACTCCCCCTATATTAATTATAAACTTGGTAATAGCTCATATAAAGCTCTTTTAGTTATTTACGCCTACGACTGCGCGAGGTCTTATTAGCACGTATAGTAAGTTAAGTTCTTAGATAATCGTCTTATTAACTATAGAGTACGTACAACACTTATTATTAATTATAGTAGTAGTATTTCTGATACTATTAATAATTACGTCTATAGATATAGGCGAAGTAGCTTCTAGTTGTTATAAGAGACTACGAATTAGTTATACAACCTTCTTAACTTGCTTCTGTGGCTCTAGCCGGCGTTTTTGGGCTAGAGCTCTTCTTTTTTCTTATTAGAGCTGTCGCTTTCTATAGTAGCTGCTATTATCTTTGTAGTGGGTGTAGGGTTCCTTATACGTTTAGGTACTGTAGCTTTATAGTGTCGTACGAGATGGCCTTGAAGTCCGCAGCGGAGACAGCTGCCTTCTTCCTTTCGTTGTGCGATTTGAGTTCTCGTGCCTTAATATTCATTCCTTGTACGGGGGCGCATAGCGCCTACAGTTGGAGTCTAATCTATCGCGTTGTTGGTTAAAGAGGAAGGTTTAGGGTGGACTATCACGTTATACGAAGGCTGGTCTACTGCTTTTAAGTTTTCTTAAGTAACGCGTATTCTATTTACAAAGTACTTGTACGTCTCGCTAGCTAGAGGTTGATAGCTAGCTTAGTAGCGGAGTAGCTTTCTATTTAGCGAGTTCTTTAGGTAGTTAATTTTGAGCGCGTTGTTAAGAGAGCCTAGTCCCGCTTTGTAGAACTTCAAGTTGAATGCTTATACGTGAGGGAGAAACTCTTCTTTACCTTGCTTCGTCGTACGAAGGTATTGTAGAGCCTTTTGCTTAATTATTAGGTCTTAGAAGAATCTATCTAGTTGAGCCTAAAGCTCGTTTAGCGATAGTTCTTTTTATTTATCTATTACCGCTGTGACGTAAGCTTGAAGAGTGGTAAAGGCCTATCCTTTCGTACGAGTATTATTATTATTATTATTTTGGTTTTACGTCCTGTCTCAGCCGGTGGGCTATATAAGACGTGCAGGCTAGGCCCGCAAGTATCTACGTAGTGCTATCACTTTGGTGTAGGTGGGGGAGGGGGCTATCTAAATCGAGGTGAGGCTCGTAGCCTAGTCTAGAGGGAGGTAGAAGGGGGTCTTGCGGGTAAAAGAGAGAGGTAGGGTGGGTGTAGGGCGAGGCCACCTAGTATAGGTGTTGCCCTAGTTCTCGAGGTTTCCTTTGTGCCAGGCCTGTGTTGCAGCCCTAGTTTCTTCAATAAAGGCAATAGTAGCCTGTATGCCTACGCTCGTGTTTAGCAGGAAGGCTAGCGATAGGGGGTCCTTGCTCGCCTCCTGCATCTTTATCCTAGCCTCCTTATATAGCGTACAGCTAAGGAGGATATGGGTAGGATCTTGAGTAGCTCTATAGTTGCGAGGGGCAAACTTTAGAGTCTACTTTGTC